TCAAGTCCAAAGGAAACTTCGCATTTGCAGCTTTGTTGTTCTCTTTGTTTTCAGGAAGTTTGGAAGGTTGCTCAAAGGTTGAAGTAGCTTCAGGAACATGTCTTTTGCAGTCGTGCAGTACATGTGTAGGAACAGTGCAGGAACATGTCGGCGTGTGCAGTGACACGAGTGCATGTGCATTAGGACTGCAGGAACAGCTTGAGGTAGGAAACATTTGCAGCTCGATGCCTCGAGTGAAGGACCTCTGTTTTAGGAACCCTGTAAAAGAAGAGAAAGTAGGTGTAGAGAAGGAAGCAGCAGCTATGGAACCAAGTGCCTCCGAAAAGGAACGCTGGTACAGAGAACTCACCTCTCAGTTGAACCAGTTGAGAGAAGCCCAAGGAACCACGAACGTGTTGCTCAGAGAACAGCGTCGTGAACAGGCAAGCCTCAAGGAACAGATTGAGGACCAACACCTGCGAGATGTGGAGTTGCTCAGGCATTTGAAGGAAAGGATAGAAGCCTTGGAGACCAAGATCGCCGAGTACGAGAAGGAAGAAGAAGAAGAGAGCCAAGGAATGATCTGGTGGAAGCAGCAAGAAGAAGAAAGAGCAGCGAAGATGGAAAGAGAGCTACGAAGAACAGGACATGGTCGAGGAGAAGCAGGGAGTGAAGAAGAGAAAGAAGAAGGAGGATCGATCTTCGTCGGCGTCTACTACAACAACGCAGGAGGAAAAGAGGAAGGAAAAGGAAAGGAAAGAGAAGATCAGGAAAGTGAATGAGGAGCTGAGGAAAAGAGAAGAAGAGGAGAAAGAAAAGGAAAGAGGTTTTGCGTACCCCTACGACGACACCGAGTACAAGATCTACGTGGAGAATGGCAAGGTATACAAACAGCGCAGGATCACGGGCGAGAAGGTCGAAGTTGGCGTCGACTACGTCTACAAGCACCAGAAAGGAAAGGAAGGAAAAGGAAAAGGACCAGGAAGAGGAAGCGCCAGGAACACAGCCACAGGAGCAAGCAGCAGCTCTGACAAGCAGGCAAGCGCAGCAGTAGCTGAAGCAGCAGGAGTTACACCGCAGGAAGAAGGAGCCACGCATGAGGAAGAGAAGCAGGCAGAGAAGGATGAGAAGAAGTGGCAGAAGGAACGTGAAAGGCGAGAAAGGATCAGGAAGAGGAAAGCCGACGAGAAAGAAGGAAGAAGCAGAAGAGGAAAGGAAGAGACAGGAAGCCACAGCAGAAGAGGAAAGGAAGAAGCAGGAAGCAGCAGCAGAAGAAGGAAGGAAGAAGCAGGAAGCAGCAGCAGCAGAGGAGAGAAAGAAGCAGGAAGCCGCAGCAGAAGAAGGAAGGAAGAAGCAGGAAGCCGCAGCAGAAGAGGAAAGGAAGAAAAGGCAGGCAGCAGCAGCAGCAGAGGAAAAGGACAGGAAGAGACGAGAGGCAGCAGCAGCGGCAGAAGCAGAAAGGAAGGGACGAGAGGCAGCAGCAGCAGAAGCAGAGAGGAAGAAGCAAGAGGCAGCAACAGGAGAAGGAAAAGGAGATGAAAATGAAAGTTTGAGGATTGAGATGGCCCAGCTTCGTGAGTTGGTCAGAGGAATGAAGGAACAGCAAGCCTCAGACAAAAGGAAGATCGTCTCGCTTCAGGAAGAGCTCAAGAAGGCCACAGACAGTGAAGGAAGCACAGGAGAAGCAAAGAAGAAGGACAAGCCGATTGGCCCACATGATCGAAGCCAATTCAGAGTTGGAGGAAGTGAAGGAGCTCAGGAACTGTATGCGATCTTTCCTTACGAAGGATCAGATTTCCAATGGAAATGGGTGCAGGCCACGAAGGCATGGGAGGAAGGATCTGCAAGGAACAGGAGAAGCAAGTGAGAGGATGAAGGAAAGTAAAAGAAGTGAAGGAGAAGAGAAGCAAGGAAAAGCAGAGGAAGGATCAGCAGCGCTCAGTCGAGCAGTGAGGAGTGAGTTTCAAGATGAGAAGGAAGCCAGAACAAAGGATGGAGTACCCGTTCTGCTGGCAACTTTCAGGAACTTTGTTTTCGCTTTTGTTGACTAAAGGAAAATGGTCCGAGTAATCAACTTAGCCCACGACAGTCGAAGCTAGCTTAGTCTAGGGAGAACCCATGAATCCAGAAGTTACAAAGAATTAATTCCTGATTTAATTGTTGCTTCTGGGTTGGGTTTTGACCTACCTCGACATACCTTAACCCTACAAAAACACAATTAAATCGTGATTTAATTGTGTTTCTTTGTGTTTGACTGGAAGACAATTAAATCGTGAGTTAATGGTGTAGCAAAGACTTGTGCTAATTGGTACCTGTTTGCACCATTAAATCATGATTTAATTGCACTATTATTATTACTATTACTATTAGTCTTATTATTACTACTACTATTAGTCTTATTATTCCTATTACGATGAGTCTTATTATTACTATTACTATTAGTCTTATTATTACTATTAATATTAGTATTATTACTATTACTATTACTATTCCTATTCCTATGATTATTACGTTTACTACTATTATAATCCTAATTCTTCTTCTTATTATTTTTCTTATTACTATTACTATTACAATTACTACTACTATTGCTATTGTTATTGCTATTGCTATTGCCATTGCCATTGCTATTGCTATTGCTATTGCTATTGCTATTGCTATTGCTATTGCTATTGCTATTGCTATTGCTATTATTCTTCTTCTTATTGTTACTGATATTATTAATATTATTACTACTATTATTATTACTATTTCTATTACTATTACTTTTATTCTTCTTCTTATTGTTACTACTATTATTATTATTCGTATTATTATTATTCCTATTATTATCATTATTACTATTACTATTATTATTACTATTATTATTACTATTACTATTATTATTATTATTACTATTATTATTATTTTTACTACTATTATTATTACGATTATTATTACTATTATTATTGCCATTACTCTAGGGGGAACAATTAAATCGTGATTTAATTGTTTCTGCGGGTTGGGATCGTCTAGCAGAAACAATTAAATCCTGATTTAATTGTTTTCCTTGAGCAGCTTGCCGGCATGGCATGCTGCGTCGCGCGACGTTAACAGGCAATTAAATCGAGAGTTAATTGTGCTGGACCTAAGGGGCGTCGAGCCGGCCCGATGCCGGTCAATTAACTTCAGAGTTAATTTTCCTTAACTCTTGGATTCACTGTCTTCCTTAGTCTAGGAACGACTTTCACCAGCTTCGAAGGCGGGGTGTTAAACATGTACGCAGTACAGGAAGCTGTGCACCAGGTGCATGTGAAAAGCACACCAGAGCCTCAGAACGTCTTGTCGACGATAGGCTCGAACAAGGACACACACCGCAGCGAACCCAGGAAAAGTGCGGAGTGTCCCAGCTTTTCAGTTAGCTTTAGATTGACCCTATCTTTGACAAAGGCCTTCGGAGGGTATCTGTGTGCGGAATGGCAAGATGAGACTGGGGTGTCTTAGTTTCGTCTTACTTTCGTCCCACTTTCCAAACCCATTCCTTAATTTCGTCTTGCTTTCTTCTTAGTTTTGGAAACCATGTCGTAATTTCGTCTTACTTTCGTCGTACTTTCCACAACCATGCCCTAATTTCGTCTTACTTCCGTCTTACTTGTCAACACCGTGTCTTAATGTCGTCTAACTTTCGCCTTAGTTTCCAAAACCGTGTCCTAATTTCGTCTTACTTTCGTCTTATTTTCGTCTTACTTTCCAAAACCATGCCTTAAGTTCGTCTTACTTTCGTCTTAGTTTCAAAGCCTTGTTTTAATTTCGTCGTACTTTCGTCTTACTTTCCAAAACCATGCCTTAGTTTTGCCTGACTTTCCTCTTAGTTTTCCAGACCGTGTCTTAAATTCGTCTGACTTTCGTCTTCCCGTCAGGATTAGTTAGTCAAAAGCTAGAAGGGGTCAGTCGAAAAGAACACCTGCAGCATGCAGTGATGTCGGCCAGGCACCGTCTACGCCTTGCGAGCTCGACTCCAAAAGTTTCGGAGCTGTGCCAGCAGGGTCCAGCAACATTCTCTGGGCTTGTGGAAGCCGGAAAGAAGTACGATTTGTTGCCACCAGTTTGCGCTTCGCTGACAGATCTTGAGAAAACTTGGGTTGTTTACTTAGTTGTAGGGTCTTCGGTGGGTCGACGGTTAAGATTCGGATATAGATCGATCTTGAAGAACCTTGTGTTGTTTACTTAATTACAAGGCCTTCGGAGGGTCGGTATCTGTGTGAGGAATGGCAAGATGAGACTGGGGTGTCTGAAGTTTGTCTTACTTTCGTCCCACTTTCCAAACCCATTCCTTAATTTCGTCTTACTTTCTTCTTAGTTTTGGAAACCATGTCGTAATTTCGTCTTACTTTCGTCTTACTTTCCAAAACATGCCTTAATTTCGTCTTACTTCCGTCTTACTTGTCAACACCGTGTCTTAGTTTCGTCTTACGGTTGAGGAAGCATGTGTGGAATTTGTTCTCATGTTTTACCAACAGCGCCTTTTATGGTCCAAGCAAAAGAGAGTGGCTTGGAGTTTAGCAGATTCACTACAAGCCCTACACCCAAAAGCCTAAACTCAAGGTCCTGAATCCCGACGCCCTAAACCCCTACGCGTTTAGACCTCAAAACCACATGTGCACGCAAGTGCCTGGCTTGTGCTCGAACTGGACCGCCGGCTCGACGTCTGGCAAAACAGGGGCGCTGCTACTGGCTGTGGTGCCTGGGGGGGGGGGTGTGGAAGGGTGGGGTGCAGAGTTTAGGGGTTAGGTTGAGGGTTTAGGTTTTGGGGTCAGGGTAATGACGAGGGTAACAGGTCTTCTGATAAGATGGGCAGGAAATCCAGACAAAGTATAAAGAGCCAGCGCTGAAGAGTGTGGCTTACATGGCCAGGTGCATGTTCAGAGTTTATGGAATCAAGCAGCCCTGAAGACAGATGCTTGTTGAACCTCCGCGCGGCTGTGGCCGTGTGTGCTCCCTTGTCGAAGTAGGGATTCTTAAACAGGGGGGCAACTCGAGCAATGCCGTGCTGCCTATCAAAGGGCGAATCAGCCTTGGTCGCATATGCGAAGACGGGGGTTCGGCATGTTGACCAGGGCCCACAGAGACTATTCCCGATGTACACAGTGTCCTTGGACGTTCTGCTCAAGATGGTGATGGTCGAGCCGCACGAAAAGCTCAAGGCTAAAGGTCTTCTTGTGGAGTATTTGAACCGCATGGGCAGGGCCGTCTTCGTGTCTCATCAGTGGGCCCGTAAGAATCATCCCGACCCGGACTTCAGGCAATTCCGAGTTTTGCAAGATGCACTCAAGCATGCCATGTACAACTTGCACACAATCTGTATAGACTTGAAGACACAGGCACTGGGCACCGGTGCGCAGGACCTCCCAACATCAGAGCTCTTTTCTGAGGCGCTGTACTTCTGGTACGATTACTTCTCTGCCCCGCAGTTGGAAAGTGTGCATACTGGCAGTAAGACTTCAAATCTTGCTGATGCCATCAACAGCATCCCTACCTACGTAGCCGAGTGTTCCTTCTTCTTCGCGCTCTGCCCGATAGTGGAGGATCCAGATCAGGAACGAGTACTTTCACCCCAATCATGGGGTCGTCGCGGCTGGTGCCGCGTTGAAAGGGTATGCCGTGAACTTGGTCAGGATGTGTCTTGGATTTTGATCAAGAGCTCCACCTCCCTTGAGCTCATCGTAGCTACCAGGCTATTTAATCGTATACATTTTTACTTGCTGGTTCTAAGGGTCCTAGACCAAACAGGTATCGACTTTCTTAAGCGGATACTGAAAAGCCTAGGTCCCTGAAACCCTAAAGCCCTAAAGCCCTAAGCTCTAGAGCCTTAACCCTTAAGCCCTTAAAGGGCCCCCAAGCCCTAAAGGGGCCCTAAAGCCCTAAAGAGCCCACAAAGCCCTATAATACTAATAATAGCAAGAATGAGAACATTAATAATAATATGAATATTAATAATATGAATCATATTAGTAAGAATATTACGAACAATAATAATAACAATAACAATAATAATAATGGGCGCCCCAAGGCAACAGGAGGTGGAGGCTTGGGTGGAGGGCCAGCTGGTGAGGCGGAATTCAGCGTGGATGAGGACCGCAAGACATTAGGGCCCGTTGTAAAAGGCGCTTTACATCGGAAGTTGTGGAAGTTGCTGGAAGCTCAGGATTTTGTGAATTATCGTCTCTTGCTGAACCTCCAGTCCTTCTACCTCAGAGGTTTACCTGTGGATGCGGAGCATGAGATCATCCCAGGTTTTGAAGCTAACAGGCGACCAGGCTCTCCATCTCTAGTGGTGCAGAAGTTTCTTTACCAGAACGGCTTCCTTTCAGCCACTGAGATGGACAGCAATGGCTGGGCACCAGTGCACTACGCAGCCCTACATGGAGATGCAGCCATCATGCATGGATTACTTGAGCTCCGGGCCGACCCTAACTGTAACACGGAGAAGGACCAGAAGAGAGTTGGAGCTCCACCTGGGATCCCGGCATTGAACCTCTGCCTCTTCTTCAATAACAACGATGCAGCTCGACAGCTGATCTTCGCAAGAGCTGAGGTGAGTTATGAGGGCACCGTCGCAGTACCCCTGCACGTGGCAGTTGAGGCTGACAACGTCGAAGGCATTCGCATGCTCCTTGAGGCGGGTTGCGACGTCCACGTCACCAATGTTTTCGGCAACCATGGGACTGCCGTAACCCAAGCGCTCATGTGCGGATCCGTCGTGGCTCTTAAGGAGATCCTCCGTGCCGGCTTCCGCGTGGATTTCTCGAAGTCCGGTGGGCTGAACTACGCCATGTTCCTCCGTGGCGGAAGCGCCGAGATGGTCTGCAAGCTCGTGAACCTAAGAGCGGACGTGAACCAGGTCTTTGACGCCTGGGGTGACTCCACCCTCTTGGGGATTCTCACCTCAGCTGCTTCCTTTGCATACAGATGTGGCAGTGTGACCTCCTTCTCCAAGTTTGGGTACCACTCACAGGGCGCCACGCCCTTGATGTTTGCCATCATTACGGCGCAGTACTCAGGTGCAGCGGCTCTCGTTGCGGAGGGCGCAGACTTGAGCTGCAGGAATGCGCGAGGCTACTCCGTGGCAGATCTTGCACGAGAGTTCCCGGTGCCAGATTTTCTGATGCGAGCTCTCGAAGGTGATCCAACAGAATGCAAGCGTTTGTACCAACTAGAGTCTCGAGGTAGTCTGGTTGGCATGTAGGGGGGGGGGGTCGGCTGTGCGGAGGCGCTGCTCGCTATACTTGCTTGACCCTTCTCACTTCAGTGATTCAAGAGGTTTGTTCTTTTGACAACCAGCCGCTACAGGGAATGGGCGCCGCTACAGCGAATGGGCACCGCGATTCCACCACAAGACCCTCGAAAGAGGCTTGTGCCTCGTGGCATTTTCCAACCATTCCTAGCGTTCGTGGTTGTGCAAAACCGATGGCTTCAACTTGGTTGCTTTTTGCCCGAACCCCTAACCCGTAACCCTAAGCCCTAAGCCCTAAACCCTAAATCCGAAACCCTAAACCCTAAACCCTAAACCCTAAACCCTAAACCCTAAACCCTGCAAGCCCGAAGTCCCAAACTTAGGATATCCAGCCTCCTGGCCTCCCAAAGACTACATGGGGCATCGACGTCAGGTGTACGTGCAAAATCTGATACCCCTGTATGTTGTGTCTGCGAAATACAGGAACCCGTCACTTTGGGGTCAAACCTGGTGAGAGCAAAACCTGCCTTGAAAGTTCCACGCATGCCGAGCTTCTGACAGCCACTAACAAGCCCGAATCGTAGCTATCCCTCCCTACGAGTATACCCACTCATGTGCTCTCCTTTTTCTGGGCTTTGAGGGGGGGGGGGGGTGCCATGCATCCTATGAGTTTAGGGTTCAGGTTCTTATGTGTCGGATTTCTCTAGGCTCCGAACACCCCCAAGCCAAAATTGACCCGAGGTACCGGCGACGATTTTTTTCATGCCTTGCCACATTTTTTTGAGGGACGGAAAGGGCACCGCCTCGTCCAAGACTTGGGGCAAGTGGGTCAAGTCACGCGTTTTCATTAGTTCTAGTTGAGTTGTGTGCAATTGCAACTTAGATGATTAGCTAAAAGTATCGACGGAGTGCTGCACCGCTACTGTTGCGACGACGCTGCTACAAGCTACCTTCTGTCATTTCTTTTTGTTATAGTTTTAGCTGTCTTAGTTTATGCACTGGCTTCCAAGCGTCCGGTCTTCTCCTTCGCTCGGTCCATGAACTTCTTTGCAACCTCATCCGGAGTTTCTGTCGCAAGGTGCGCGCCAGCTCCAGCCGATTCTTTAATGACAGCAAGTAGACAAAACAACTCAGGGAGTTTGAGTAGCCTCGTCCACAGCCTCGGTCCGCTTCATCTGGGCGAAATTCTTCGGGAAGCGCTTCTGGAGATAGCATCCAACACAACCCTCTTCCATGTTAAAGGGCCGTGGACCGAGCTGGGCCCTCCATATTTACTACGTGCACACATTGCACAGCGATCCTCCCAATGATTTGAAGAAGACTGAAAACAATGAGCCGGCACGTGTTGCTGCACCTCCAGCGCCGGGCGTTCATCAGGGTATTTCTATGTATAGGTTTGTATATATATAATATATATATATATATATATATGCACTGTATGTATGTTTCACCAACGAAGCAAAAAAGAGATATTCTTGAAACTTCCCCATCAGGTTCTTCCCATTTTCAGCAGCAGAAGCGCGGACAGATAATGCAAGTCTTCAGGAATACCTTCGAATAGTTGGTATGCAAGCGATGTTGCTGGTTGTTTTGAAGCTCGACGTGTCGTGCCCTCATCACGCCTATATGGAGCCCCCACGCATAAAGACACATAGAGCCGGATAACTACATAGAGCCGGATGCCCACATGGGCACGGTGGTCACGTGCTGGTTGTGTTAGGTCCAGGCTCCTGCCAGCCTAGTCGAAAGGCTACGATTGCGCACGCGACATTGGGACTGAGCGGGTCATCAATTTCGAGGTCAAGTTTTTTTTGCTCACCCGTCGAACGCAACAACACTTCAAAGTGAAGCGCTGTTTGGGCAATGTTGTCACTTCAGCCACGATGCGGCGATGCCTTCTGTGAGTTTCGTGCCTGAAGAATGTGATTCTTGGATGCTATGCTGATTTGTAAGATCGTACGGCAGGCTTGTGATTAGTGTCATGCTGATGTTGAGTTTCGCCGGACATCTGAAAGGCAAGGATCCAACTGCAAGCGGTGAAACCAAGCATGTCGCCTGATGCGGCATGCCACATTTTTGGCAGCACAGGTCTATCACATGCTTATTTCCATTGTAAATCGTAGCCCTCCTGGCTTTATCATCCCGGGAAAAAGGGACACAAGGGAGTCAAAAAACTGGGCTGCTATGGTATGCTGGTGGAGCATGCGAGGTGATCAGGCAGCCACTTTGCTCAGCTCATCTTGTAGGGTACCAATAGCTGGAAAGTCAGCTTGCTTCTGAGGAGCTTGACAATGGACATGTTGGCTGTGCACATGGTGTCCAGGCGTTTATCTTAGAACGGCGCTGGCAAGTGCCACTGATACTTGGACAGTGCACTTCAGCTCAGACTGTATCCTACGTGGCAGTTCGTCCTGTTGTCTTCAGTTCTGCTGAAAAGACTGGCCGCCTTGTCCATCTTGTCCGTCTTTTCCTACAGCCACAGGCCATCAGGCTGTTTAAGCATGGCGGGCATGCTGAATGCCGCAAAGCCTTTCCATAGCGTTGTCTGTTGCGCCCCCGCGACTCCTCGCAGCCGGCATGCTGGGCCGACTGGGCCGAGTGTCGCGAGCGTCTGAACTGGAACCTCTGGAGGAACTCCCTGCAGATGCTCTCGACAGCTTCCTCTTTCTCAGGAGGCCCGGGTTCCTCTGGGACCGTGGTGATCAAGAGAAAGTTGCTTCATGATTAAAGAAGCAAGCTTGTGTCTTCACAAGCATAAGTTACAGGCTCGGCACCTATCATGCTTGGCAATGGCATCCCCTATCCAACGTACTTTCCTTCAGGGTAAACCGTTGTACCCATAAGGTCACATAGGCCGTAATAGCAGTATGTGGAAGCCAGCCTCTGTGGCACCAAGGCGCTCTAATGCTATAGAAGATGCCTTGCAGCATGGGCCAGGTCCGATGTTGCACTGTCTATCTGCTCGCAAGTAATCACCTGTGGTGTGTAACCTTGCAACATGGGGTGCTCCAGCATGCCACGCTGCCACTCTGCGCGGTTTCAAGCGCTTGTCCTTGCTAAGTTCCTTTGGCGCTGCTGCGCGGCCCGCTTCCTCCAAGACGTTAGATGCCTAGTGCTCCGGTGCAACTGGTGCTTGTGGATACCAAAGCGCGCCTGCCTGCGCTTGGGATCCTGGGCCGCAGCGCGGCCCTCTGGCAGAAACCCTAAACCCTAAAGCTTAAACCCTAAACCCCTAAACGCTAAACCCCTAAACCCTAAACCCTACACCCTAAATCCTACAAGATCTTTTCTTGCTTGGCCTTTTACTTGCTGTGCTCTGGCTGGGCTTCTTGGAGCCTGGGTGATGCCAAAGGCGGTCCGTGCTTCGAG